ACTTACTGGGGTAATTTTGTGGTTATCCTACTTCTAAATGAAAATTTAAATTTTTCAACGAAGTCAGGTAAATCCTACAAACAACTTATAATTATAAATATATATATATCAATGAGTGAAAATATAACAGTTTCTTTTCATGTTATTTTCATAACTATTTTCAGTTTTACTAACAAAAAAGTCAACTTTATTAAATATGTTAACTCTAAAAAATAAAACCTATGACAAAATGAATAGTAGCAGGATTTGGATAGGTGGGGAGAAAAAAAGAGAACCTTCTTCCAATTCACTGCTTTGGGCATTCAACCTGTTCAAATCTCTAATGGCAATTACATGAGGATTGTTATAGGAGTCTGAATCAGGTCCAAGGTTACAATAGTAAAGATGTTCTCCAAAAGAGTCTTTCCTACTTTAAAAATAACAATAATAATGGCTTTCAAAGCAGTAACATCATACGATTTTAAATAACCATGTGACTCATGGGAAAAACCTTTAACGGTTTTTGTCTTTGAGCACTGTCTAGAGAACTGAGGTTAAGTGACTTTCTCAGGGTCACAAAGCTGGTAAGTGTCTGAGGCAGACTTTGAACACAAGCTTTGAAATGCCACAGTGCCTTGTCCTTAACCTAACATCTCTTCATTTTGGTTGGTTATTACAGTCAAAAGATACCTCTAAGTGTTCTGAACAACCTTTCTTCTATGTCTTATTATCCTTTAGTAATCTTTACTCTGACATGCTGACATGATAACCTACATTACATGTTCTCTCTCTCTCAAAAGAAAGGATTACAGTTTTAGATAAAAATAAAGAACTGGCCTATGATCGGACTTCGGGTAAAGCAAGCAGGTAAACTGAGGGAAGAATTGTGACCAGGTCATGTGTAATTTCAAAGTATCATTTGTCAAAAAAATTTTAAATATGTTATCATAGTTACCAGGTTTTGTTTTCATAATACAAAGTAATAAACTGGACATGTTATTCTCAATACACATTTTAAGTTACTAGAAATCTAACTTCAAGGAATTAGAATATAAAATTAAAATGTCTTGATGTAGTACAAAATTCCAAAAAGTTCTTTAGTCCATTCCTATGTCAACACACTTAAATAGTGCAAATAAAACATCCCTGGAAGCTAACAGATGTGTTCCTACTTTATTGTGGAGAAAAAAAAACCCTTCATGAAAAGTTACAGGGAAAAAAAACATCCTTTTTGCTTAATTATCATCTAGAAAAAGTTGGAAAATGAAAATAAAATTGCTAATAATTAGAGACAATTCCTCTTAGAAATACTTTTGTTCCTTCTAGTTACAAGCAATTTGAGCATTAATTTTATACCTCAAGTTATTCTGGCTGGAATGTTCAGGAGTAATACAAGTTACTCTCTACCCATTGAAATTTCATCATTACTGAAACACTAGGGTTGCAAAGAATAACTAGGCACTACATATATTTTACTACCAGACCTCAAAAAAATTGCTAAGAATGTTACAAATAATAAAAAGTATCAAAAAGTGCTACAAAAATATTTCTGAGCTTAACTTGAAGTCACTTTGTATTTCAGAACAATTCTGATATGGTGTCAATGATTAACATGAAATAAAATAAATCTGAAAATTGGTTACTCTGCTCTGCATTTCGCTTAGAAAATGGTATTATAGACACCATGTCTGTCAGCTTAAAGAACTGAAAAATGAAGGTTTAATAATAGAGATTTGAAATCAAAAGCTTCTATTTTTCCAATTTGAAAATGTGTGGGTATGTAAAACTAACTGTTGCAAAATATTTTTAGAAGAGAATTTTAAACTAAATGACATGTTTCCTTTTCAGTTTTCTTTAAAAATAAATTTTCTTTGATGCCTATTTTTCAGTCTTTAAAAGGCCAATGAATCCAGTTTTTGATTTCTGATAGTTTTACACAAGGATTAGAATGGGATAGATAAAAGTCCATGGCTTGCCCCAAAAGTTAAGAAACAAAATAAAAATAGTAAATCAAATAAATATTGAAAATATGCATAAAACAAAAGACATTTTATGAGCTTCAATAAAGAAAATTCTGACACTAGATCCCATTTCCTTTAGCTTTTCTCTCCCAGACTTTCCATTCTATACACTACAGTTGTGGAGATGTCCTCATTTGCCTCAGGTGACACTTTTTTCCATACTGTATCTTTTAGAGCAAGTTCTTGTTGGAGACTCTCATAATCCAAGGGTCCAAAGGAATGCTAGTTGTTCAAGCAACATACATAA